CACCTTTTTCACAATGGCCGGAAGTCCCTCGATGTGGGGTAAACGTCACTTATGTTAATGCTGCAAAATATCTATTGTATTTATTTATTTAATGAGAGGGACAGTGCACAATTTACATTCATCTTAACAGGAGAGATGCATTGTACCAGGTTATAGCACCAGTGCTTATTTCCACCTGTACTTCCCGGGCAGGTTCGTTGATTGATTGTATTCATTGACCTTAGCTATCAACTGTTCCTCCTGGAGACATATGTAGCATGTTTCAGGTTGTCTGTAGAAAGGTCTTGCGTATTTTTCACCGGCTTCATAAATCTGCCCCACCACCACATCTTCATCCAACAAGGTCGACAAAGGACAAATTCCGTCCATGAAGAATTTATCCACAACTATCAAGGTAAGAAAGACAAAAACGTAAAGGCGAACAACGAGTAGAATTAGTGAACGACTCCTGAGCAAAAACTAACATTATGGTCATGAATAAAACAGAAGTCACTTTTTAACTCAGACTGATTCTACAATTAAAATTACAAGTCGATTTCATGATAGATATTGGCATAGAAGGGTGAAAAAATGCATAGCACACTCCCTTGTCTGGCTGCCCCTTGCATTTGCACCTCTACAAGTATTTTGGTGTGCGTTTTCTGTTTCTTTTGGTAGATATTGGCATAGACAACGATTTGTGCAGTTTAAATGCGAGACATGTAATCTGTGAACATCTGGAGCATTAGAACTGCACAAATCTCTCTGTCTTTACATCATGAAATCCATTTTTAATTTTAATTCTAGAATCAGTCTGAGTTCATAAGTTACTCATTAACAAATTACTTATTACTTATGTTTTATTCATGACCATAATGTTAGTTTTGCTCAGGAGTAGTTCAGTAATGCATCGTCGTTGTTCGCCTTCACACTTTCATCTTTCTTCTTTCTTCATGGACAGAATATGTCCTTTGTCGGCCTTGTTGGATGAAGATTTGGTGATGGGGCAGATCTATGAAGATGGTGGAAAATACACAAGATATTTCCACAGATATTTTGCCATAGAAAAGCTTTAACCGGGAGTGACGTTTACATCGCGGCACTAGCCATCGCGGAAAAGGCCTATTATAAGAAATTCTGAAAACTCAAGAAAAAATACAAAATAGATTTAAACAATACATTTTGAGAAGCCTGTGAATGATTTGAGCTTTCATGGTCCTATTTAGGTGTTTGATTTTCAACAAAAACATGAGAATGTGTTATTTGAGAGTAACAGTAAAAATAATCTCACCTGTTGTAGTTCCAGCCAAGTCAATTCTTTATGCTGAGATTGTGTTCAAATAAAACTCAGATTAAAGGGACAGTTCAGGACATAGGACCTCATTTCCTAGTGAGCCAGAGTGTTGGAGACGTGTGGAGACACTTTTTAAAATATTCCATCCAGTCCTTGTATTTGCAGAGGTCGCTGGTGCTAGGCTAGTGCATGTCAATGGCCATAGTTATCCTGCCACTAAAAACAGTCTTACCCACTCCACAAAACACCTGAAGCAAATCTATTATTACTCCAGACTGTCAATGTAAATGTCTGTGTTGATAGAATAATGTTTGAAATAAAACTAACCTTGCATTGCAAGAATCGTCGCATGCTGAGGGACTATTTTCTCGGCAGCAGCGGAATTTTACTTTGCCGGTTAGATAGGTGCTAGGCAGAGGTGGGGACTTGCAAGTTGTGACTTGAACTCAAGTCAGACTTGAGTCACAATTTTTAGGACTTGAGACTTGACTTGATAAAGTCTTGTCAACTTGGACTTGAAGGTCAATGACTTGGAACTTTACTCAGACTTGAGACGTGTGTAACTTGAGAAGCACGTTTAAATCTGAATTCTTTCTATTCTTACTGTAATGATTCACACTGAGATCTGCAACTCTTATATACTCTATAAATACTCATATATAAATATACCATGATTTTTTAAGTACAACTGAGTTTAAAATTGATATAAATTGCAAAAATCTAAGCTATATTTGGTACTTTGTTTTAAAGACTTGAAATGACTTGAAGCTCAAAGCAGACGACTTAGACTTTACTTGGACTTATGGGCCACTGACTCGAGACTCGACTTGGACTTGCCTGTATTTGACTTGGGACTTGACTCGAACTTGAGGTCAAAGACTTGAGACTTACTTGAGACTTGCAAAACAACGACTTGGTCCCACCTCTCCTGCTAGGTAATATCAGTCCGCCGCTGCCGAGCTTTCTATCAGGAACTTTCAACTCACTGCTGCTGCTCAGACATAAATCCTTCAAATGCAAGGTTGGTTTTACTTCTAAAATTATTCTATCTACACAGACATTCACATCGACAGTCTGGAGTAATAATAGATTTGCTTCGGGTGTTTTGTGGAGTGGGTAAGACTGGTTTTAGTGGCAGGATAACTATGGCACTAGTCTAGCACCAGCGACCTCTGCAAATACAAGGACTGGATGGAAAATATAAAAAAGTGTCTCCACACGTCTCCAACACTCTGAGTAACTGAGCTTCTAACAGAGCAGTGCCTCCAGTTAGCATCACGCCCCCCAGGGAAGTTAACATCCGTAGCAACGTTAGAACTATCCATTCACCTTTGACCTGATTATTTTCTGCTCCGCGCCACATGTCCCTCTCAAATTTATACATTAGAATTCAGGGTGAAAAAGCTAATATCATTTCGTCTGTGCAACATTTGGGACTCGGGGGTCACGGCAGAGGTCACGCTCCCTCGCCGGAATAACAAGCAGCTGTCAGCGGAGCCTTCACGAGCGCGCGATGCAAGGTGCGCTCACACGACAGAAACAAAAGAGGCGAGGCGCTAGTCCATTATGCGGCAGAAAAGGGCTCAGGAAACCAGTCATACACACATCTGCTTTTCTACTGTTAAAAGCCTGCCTTGTCAAGCATACTAAAATCATGTAGATGGCGTTAAAAGCTGCCTGGGTACGCGGGTGTGATAGCGCATTTGCATATTTGGGTTCGTAATAAAGAACAATTTGAACATTTAAGTCTAAGTTTTATTCTCTTTCATACAAAAAAGGCAAAAATGTGCAAACAGATAACATCACTTAGCAATACATTGGAACGTTACAATCCTATTAGAACACCATGCACTTTAGGGTAATGGGAAACAATAAACGTGAGTGTACTATGAAAAGAGGTGATTGAATTCGTACGCTGAATGCCAAGTAGTAGGCACCCGGCTAAAAATCTGTTTACAAGCAGCTCTGGTAATATTCCAACCTCAGTGGCATCCTCCCTTATTGGCCTATGGGGCACTGTAGTCGAGAGGATCCAAGGGAGCCATGGTACGTATTGTTTTTTTTGTAACGATAACTCAAAATATAATACTGTATCATCTTTTGAAATGTTTTTTTTTTTTGTTTAGTTTTTTCAAGTCTGAAAGCGTTTTATAAAAATATCAGTTCTGTATGTACAACAGTGATGATAGAAACACTTGAAGTAGTAGAAAGCAGAGACGTACAGGCCGACAGTAGAAAAGGCATTGCTTCCTGAAATGTAAATGTGAGACGTGGCAACACAAAAATAAATACAAATAATGAAAAATAATATATAAAAATAAATAATACATCAATCAAACTTTATTTATAGAGTACTTTTCATACAAAAATGCAACAAAGCGCTTACATAATAGATTTAATAATAAAATTGATAACCGATCATAAAAAAGTGGACATGTACTACCAAGTTTGATCAAATTCAGATGTAATTGAAAGTTATAATTATTGGTGTAGTGATGTGGTTTAAAGTAACACAAATCTTTTTTATGTTTTCTCTTATGAAAGAAAAACACAGATGATACAGGAATACTAAACCCCATCTGTGTCTGTGATTAGAATACATAGTTTGTAATTGATACTTAGCAGTGAGATTATGCTGGGGTTGTTCTACATGTACTGTATTTTTTGGACTATAAGTCACACTGTTTTCATGGCTTGGGTGGTCCTGCGACTTATATATTACAATTTTCACACTGACAGCCATGAGAGGGCGCTCTAGTCTTGTGTGTCAGTATCTGGTACAGGAGTAATAGTAGTAACACTGTCACTTCACTCTACTGCACATGTCTCCTGCAGAAAGAGCCACTGTCCTGTCTGTATCATGTCAGTCGATCGCACCATTACTTCTGTACCACTGAAAATTTTACATTTAAACAAACTTATAAAGACGACTGAGAAGACTGAACACAAATGCCCCCCAAAAGAAAATCATATTTTGCAGAATACAAGCTGCAAATAGCAAAATAATCAACCGAAAACTGTAATCGAGCAGCAGAAAGAAAGTTTGGAGTGCGCGAGAAACTTGTGACAACTGGGAGGGTGCACCAAGTAACTTTCCTGGAAGTCACTGGATGGATCGACAAAGCCTGGACTACAGTGACAACCAAAACCATCCTGTTCATTCAAAAAGGCTGGAATAATTCTAACTGGAACTGATGCTGAGTCTGACGACAGCTACACAGAAGAGGAAACGGCGCTCCTTTTACCTCTGGAGGTCACGGAGTTGCTCAGACGTGACACCAAGGATGAAGAATGAGATCGAGAGTTTAATAATATATTATGTTAACAGCCTGTTGTTCTCTGTTCTATTGATATTACTATAACTTGCCTTTCAAGATGAAATGTCGGTTCCTGGTTTCAGATTTTATAAAATAAATTTCCCCCAAAAAGTGTGACGTATAGTCCGGTGCAACTTAAATATGTTCGTTTCTTCTTCATTACGCATTTGTTGGCTGGTGCAAGTTATACTCCAGAGCGACTTAGTTAAGTTACTATGGCGACCCAATCCACACATTAGCAAACACTTAAAAAAAAATTCAGTTCTTTATGATCAGATTGTGTTAGAAAAAACAGATTAAAGTCTAATTCGAGTAACAGAGCTTCAGACAGAGCAGTGCTTACAGTTAGTATCACACCTCTAGGGAATGTGGATGACATCAGCTGCAAAGTATGAATAGTATTAACCAAATTACACTTCTTCTACATTTAATTGCGTTCTGTATTGTGTGACAAAGGATTATAACATCTCTATACATTGTAGAAAGCAATGCCACTTCTACATACAAATACATAAAAGTAACATACAATACATGATGTTTATGATTCAAACAAAAGTACTCACCAGCTCATGGTCATGTAGGGCCAGGCATTAAAGGAGAAGCAAGTTACACATAGGCAACCGATTTTCATATATTCTATAATTTGTACATTTAAAAATCAATTGTCAATTTATAAAGTTCACTTTTTTTAAATAATCACTGCTCTGATTTCTGGTCAAGTATTGTTCCGAGGTAGAAGCATGAAGAGCAATGGTTCATATTCCCCAAGCAAATGCATAGAACTGAATCTAGTGACAAAGCTAGTCTAATATATGGCTATTGGAGCGCTCTGATTGGACGAAACAAAATACACTTTAGTTTTTTCCTATAATTTGCTCACATTTGAATAAAAATAACACATAACATCTTCTCCAGTAATGCCAGATATGCTCACTCACAAAATTATCTCGCCAAACATGATTTCCAAACAGCAGAATAACTTGATTATTCTAACACAACAAAACATGTACAATTTTCTAAAGGCACAAGCACCTATTCGTCCCTGGTATGATAATGTCACAATGTTAAAGATGTTCTGTGTGGTACTTAAGAGTCTCCTTTTAATTTTCAGTGCGTGGACATTGTTTACATTCATTTTAATCTATTTTTTAAGTCAGGAAAAAAACAAAAGAAGTAGGTCGGAGCTGCCTTACATGTTTTACATTCATTATTATTTTATTTATGTACCAAATTTTCAGCAGTGCAGTAGTACACAGCTAAAGGTACGCATAAAATTGACTCTTGTGAGCTTTAAATCATGTTAACATCTTATTACCTCATCAAAAACATAACCGGAGTCGTGTTTTGTTTCATTCACACGTTTAAGTAATCCTTTATTATTATTCAAAGCTCAAAATGCTCTGTTCCTCCTTGTGATGTCATGAAGTAGTAGATTTCAAGTGAACAGCTACTTTTTACTTTTCGTGCAGTAGAGATTGGCAATTACAGGTCTGAAATTATCCAAATGATTCTTGTGAAGGTGTATGGAGTTTAAAAACGCAGTGGAGCACTTCCTGTATTACCACATGAGAGAAGAACACCGCCTACATATGCAGGTTTTGTGTGTGAATGAAACAAAACACAACTCCAAGTGTGTTTGTGATGAGGAAACTACATTATAAACATATATATATAGATCAGAAAACAGCATAACATGGGGCCTTTAGTCGTAAACCATTCAGATTTCACACCTTGAATGCATTTTTATTTGTATTCCTTATTCGTATACACCTGTTTGAATGCTATAAAATGCAGACTTCATAACGTGCGGCAGCTGGAAAACCTTTGAACAATATGAGTGATTATTAAAACTGACAGCCTCGAATTATTTAGCCCATTTATCAGATTAGAGAAGTCATGTTTAAAGTCAGTTATGGTGAATTGACTTTAAATAAGTGGCAATCAGCATTCCTCATCAGAAAAAACTAGTCAAACATTACTTGATAACTTCAAAGTAGATTTTCCATTACATTACATTTACCACCCTTCCTTCTTACTGTTCTAATATCTAATAATGTTAATGGGGCACTGTGTCGTTTTAGCTGCTTGTCTCAATAGGTATGTTGTGCTTTGCCTAAAAAGTTTCACAGTATGGCATTAAACTTCTCAAAGCCTGTGGTGCCACCAGGCCAAGTTACGGGTCAGATCTGTGGAGAGGCACAGTAAGAACGTGGAAAGCGCACATTTTCTGGTAAACTGTTAACATCGCCACAGAGACGAGCAGGTTACACAGCGCATCTTATGTCCCAGAGCTTTTCCTTTGCCTAAATGTTTACTACGAATCTTTCATACATAAATACGACGACTCGTGTGTGATTGATCAGTGCACAGGAAAGAAGTGATGCCATCCATCTACTGTATATATGAATGGACATTGCGCTTCTGGCTCCATCAGCTTCAGTTGAGTTTACATTGAAAAAGTGTCACTGCCTCATCATTTTGTTTTGGTCTTAAAATGTTCGTATTAACCCACTCTACATGATCCTGGTGTTTTTATTTCACTATTTTGTCTGTAAATAAAGTCTTACTCCTAATATTTGGAACTCAGCTACAAATTCGCTCCTATAACTGCCTCGTGAGCTTCATTTGACTGGAGCCGATATGCACTAAGATGACCGTTCAGGCTGCAGGGCTTAATGCTCAATTCAGATTTATTTGCGAGGTCGTTCACATTTTCCAATAAAATGCAACTTGTATGTGATCTCCAGTGTGAACTTTAAACGCCCCAAAATGTCCCGCATGTGCATTGGACGACACAACATCACAGGCTGCGAGCGTGCTCAGTGTTTACAGAAGTCGCCTAAACATGGACTTGAGCATTGAGCACTTGGAGATTTTAAAGTTGCTGTCGTACTGGAGCCAGAACATGTACAGCTTAATTGTTTTAAGGAGGAAAGTGAGGAGAAGGACAAGGTTTTGTGCCATGGCGTTTAGTGGGGCAGGGGCAGCAGTGTCCGTAGAAAGGAACGTGTAGGTGCAGAGTCGCAGTCAAGAGTGGAGGGATTGCGCTGTGCTTCACTAATTCGAGTTCTATGATTTGCGCGCACCTACTTCAGCGCAGAATAGTGACGTTTCTCACTTATTGATGACGTGTAGGTGGGATGAATGCGACCTGACCGTTCAGACTGAAGTCGCATGTCAAAAGATCGGATATGTATCGGTTTTAGGAGCACATATCCAAGTGGCCTGGGTCACATTTGAAAAAAATCTTATCAGAGTCGTTCAGACTGTCATTAAAAGATCAGATACAAGTCGCATAGGGGCAAAAAAAATCAGATTTGGGTCTCTTCAGGCTGCAGTCTGAACGTAGACTTAGATTTGCTGCCATGTAAATTGTGTATTAAAGGCAATACTTTGCATTTACAAGCATTATAACAGACGTCACGAATTTAATAAGGTTATATCCTCTTACTGATATTACGGGGGCATTCAAGGTATTTTATAATTTATCGTAATATTGCAAAAATGTATCAGTCTTTTCATTTATCCCTTTCACGTTCCCTTGATAAAAATGATAAAATGCTATAATGTGATGCTGATGGTAACAAGGAGAGAAAAGCAGCTTCAAAAACAGTCTTTACATTATATGGCCTCACCAGATATGGACAAATTACAGTGCACATTGTCTGGATAGCTCTCCTGCTTCGTTGTTTGTCCCGTGGCAACAAAAGCAGCGAAGATGACAGCAGCTCCCCGCGCCAGTGTTTCATATCAGCCCGGCGCACACCCACCTCGCACACGGTCCAGGCCGAGTCAACACCTCGCGCTAAGCTAACGACGCGGATCAGGCGGGCGCAGCTTGCTCCTCCGCCGTTTCGTGCCCCGCTGCGAATGAGGTAAGAGCCACCTGCTAAGGAGATGACGGCGTTTCTGTTCGGTTTTTTTTTTTGTTTTGTTCGTGTCGCGCCGAGGTCGAAGGTCGAAAGGTCACGCGCTGAGGGTCATGTTGCGCAGGAGCCACTGTTGGGAGCGGCTGCCGTTACAGTCTCTCAGCGTGGGCACCATCTTGTCCTCCTCCGACGGCATGTCCAAGCACTGGTTGCTGTTGACGTGGAGCAGGGTCAGACGCTGTAGAAGAACAGAACACAGGCAAAGGGTCGTTATTAACAAGTGACAAACTACCACATAAATTTTATCTTTATTTATTTATATTTTGTGTGCATTTGGGGGGAAGGGGTGGGTGACAGGTGGTGAGCTTTGTTGTTTTATGTTTGTTTTAAGTAAAGATGCACTGATCCAATCCAGTCCACGTTATTTAAATAGGACATTTTATATAAACATGACAGTTTCCAAAGGGCTGTACAGACAAATTAATACAATAAAAGACAGTAAATCATAATTAAAAACAATAAATAAGAAGTGTTACAGACACAAGACACAAAAGATCCAGCTTTTTCAGTTCTGATAACGATATCAATACTATGAATTTAAGTATCTGCCGATAACTAATACTAACTGATACCAATGTTGGGATGGAAAATGGCATTTATTTCCTTAAAACACCGTTAACTTATTACACAAGAAATCCAACTGTGTTATGTAACTGTTATTTATACTTCAAATAACTGTTGAACAGCTCTATCTGAAAATAAGTTCAGACATTCAAGACCAAAATCATCCTGTAAATAGCAGAGGTGGGACCAAGTCGTTGTTTTGCAAGTGTCAAGTAAGTCTCAAGTCTCTGACCTCAAGTCCAAGTCAAGTCCCAAGTCAAATACAGGCAAGTCCAAGTCGAGTCTCGAGTCACTGGCCCATAAGTCCAAGTCAAGTCCAAGTCAAGTCTGATTTGAGCTTCAAGTCAATTCAGTTCTTTAAACCAAAGTGCCAAATGCAATTTAAATGAATTTTAAACTAAATTATACTTTGAAAAGTCATGGTATATTTTTATAGTATTTATATAAGAGTTTCCTTTTTAAATGTCTTGACAAGATTTTAGTGTGAATCATTGTGGTCAGAATAGAAAGAATTCAGATTTAAAATGCTAAATAATTATTTTGTCTGCACTGAAATGGAAGGATCATGTTTTTTGTAGTTCCCTGTTTTAATGTATTGTACTTTACATTACTGTAGTACATTTGACGATACCATCTCACAGTACTTCAGGTCTCAAGTCCAAGTCAAGTCCCAACTCATTAACCTTCAAGTCCAAATTGAGTCTTAGTCCATTTTATAAGTCAAGTCTCAAGTCCTAAAAATAGTGACTCAAGTCCGACTCGAGTCCAAGTCATGACTTGCAAGTCCCCACCTCTGGTAAAAAGATTTAGTAAAGGCCCAACCAGGACATCGATTGAACCGATATCATGTAGCTGATTCCCGATCCGGAATTTTCAGTGTCGGCGCAAATCTAATACCAGTATCGGTATCGGTGCATCCCTCTTTTCATGTTTATTAGTGTATCGTGTAATGTTGTATTCTATTGTCCTTGATTAAGAAAAAAAAAGTGACAAATTAGGTACGTAGGTGAATGGTTCATCAGTATTCAGGGCTGTGTGGTCTCACTGCTGTAGCCTACCTGTTGTAACATGCTGAACTGTTTTGTGAAAAGATTATTGCATAATTAGATAAACTAGTTCATATTTTCTTTTTCACATCAGAGGTCAACATTAGGGCAGCTTGATGAGAGGAAAATTACAAAACACAATACATTTTTTGTGCTACTCCAATCATCAACCTCAATATCATGATGATATTTTTTCATACAACTTTTCAATATCAAAATGTGAAAGTATTTTTCAAAATCACAGCATATTTGTCATAGTGGGGCACAACACTGTAAACAAAAATCTAAATATTTGTATGGAAATATGGGCAATGTGTTAGAATGATCAGACTGATTTACATAAGACCATATCAGAAAGCAAAAGAGTACAAATAGTCAAAGTCTGCTGGCATTAACTTTGCCAGTACATACACTTTTGAAATATTAAAATATATATAAAGTTTTAAGGCACCAACGAAGCAACCAGCTATGTGATAACTGTTGTAACAATTATTTTAAATTCAAGAAAACCTAAAATGTGGCTAAATGTTTTAATTTTGGTGCATAATGTTAAAGCAGACCTATTACGCAAAATCGACTTTTCAGAGCTTTTCACCATGTTGTAGTTGTTTCCTTTTCTCATTTACCCTCTCAGAGTTTTTGACGTGATTGTGAATGTTTGAGCAGTCCTTAATTTCTTCATTTTCAAGACGCCATGTAGCAGATCAGCCCCTGTTTTCAGTGCCACCAGCGTACACCCACTGCTCTCTATTTACTTCAGTCTCCAATTTTATTTTCTCTTTCTCTTTTGTGAGTCGTTTTAGATGAATATTGAGATTTCAAATGTGCAATGTCTCTTTAAGTTTAGAAATATGTAAATTAAATCATATCATTTAGCCCACATCAAGCATTCAAAGTCGAGATTTACTTTTTTCCTTGAAGATTATGTGAAAAAAATAATGCAAATTTTACAGCTGGAACCTGCTTCGTTTCTGATTAGACGTCTATTTCCGAAATAATAGAACCGTAGTAGGTGGAAGAGCCAGACCAGTTTAGTTCCACCTGATGTATTCTTGGTCGATCTTCACACGAGTGATTGAAGAGACCCACAGAGCCACACTCCAACATCGATTTCACACATTTTACACAATGCCTCTGCAGCAGATAAATGGAGCCAGCCTCCTGCTCCATAAATGTAACTCGAACTGTAGCCACAACAGATGAGCACAGCCAAAACCATCAGCCCTGTTATGGGGAGAGTAGTTAAATAGAGACACTTGCATAAACACACAAATCTACACTCAGTATGCATAATAATCTGCTTGTCTAACCATACAGCAGTTTGGTAAAATTATTATTGTATTCTATTTACATTTATTCAGGTTTTAAGGTAAGAACTTTAAGGCTTAAACTCACTTAAATTTAAATTTTGTTAAAAAGAGAAAAAAAAATCTATATGTAGTATGTCTATTAGGGATGTGGCAATAATCGAAATATCGTGATATTGTACCATCAAAGTTCTCACAATAATATCGTGGGCTGTCACAATATATCAAATTATAAGTTTCCTTGCTTTATTGCATTGCTTTTAGAAGTGTAACGATATTCAAGTCTCACAATACAATATCGTCACAGTATGAACCTCACGGTACGATATTTATTGTGATATCGTGGGAAAGCTTACAATATGGTTTGGAGGCTCACAATATTATACATAATAACAAGACATTATAAAATGCTTTGACCAGTCATTTGGTACAACATTTACTGTCATATTCTAGGGATGTAACGATATCCAAATCTCTCGGTACGATATTATCACGATATGCATCTCACGGTACGATATTTGTTGCGATATTTTGAAGAGGCTAATAATTAAAGATGGGACACTTTTTTTGCTTTTGAAATACCTTGACAAGATATTTCGTTATTGTTACATCCCTAATTTCTGTACTGCAGTAACAGCGGAAATGGAGGAAACAACAAAAACATTTTTTTGGACTTTGATACTAATACAACCTCAAATCAAGGCTTTTAAAAAGGAAGAAAATGGCATTTCTTCAAATCTGTAGCATTACAATATTGCAATAAATATCTTATCATGAAGTATTGTAATTGTATTGTACCGTGTGTTTTACATATCATTACATCCATAAGGTCTTTTTCTCCTTTTCTGTTACAATTTGGTGCTGTATGTATATGTATAAATAAAATTAAACAAAAATGGTTATTTATCCCCAATATCCTACCTCAGCCTCCCAGTGTGAAGTTGCCAATCAGATGTTACGTTTAGTTGTACAAATCGTCACATTTTAGATCTTTAGTCCAGTCAAAAAGATCTAAATTATGTGTAGATTGGGTGCATTTTTGTCCTTTTTCATCTTGACAATTTAAGGTAAATGAATGTACATTGCTCTGTCAGAAAATGTAAATGTAAAGTGTGTGCTCCATACCATGTATGTGGTAAAGAGCAAATCAATAAATTACTAAAACGATTTAATGGGTGGCTTGAGATCCCCCTGGCCACTCCTTAGAAATGCCACTGGACGGATTATGGGAAGAAGGGCATCTGGCTGCTTCACTATGTTAAGTTAAAGTATTAAAACATTTGCTTGCTAGTTTAAACTTGAAATTAAACATGAAATTTCAAAATCAGTGCTGCTTTTTTTTATCCATTCTGTTGCTCGAGTCAATTCCAAGTTGATGAGTCTAATAATACAAGAATCCCAAACTACAGTATTAATGGGTTTTATACTTAATAAGAAGAAATTATGAATCATTAATTACAACTATTTTTAATTACAACTATTTAAATGACATTCTTGATTGTGTATACCTCGCTACGACCATGTATCTAATAATAAAGAGCGTATTTTACCTCATGAACCTTGCTCAACAGTCCACAGAATATATTACAGGAGAGATATTTGAAAACCCTCCGAGCCAAATACAATTATGCTTCCCAGTCCCAGCACATTTCCCCATTCTCTTCCATTACAGACAGTTGTCATTGGCGATGTCCTTGACTGTCTGAAGAGCTGGGTAGAGAAGGACATAATCATGTTTTTGCTCTCTATTGCAGGAGGTAAGCCTGGAGAGATGCTCATATCAAGTATTCCTGTGGTTTACCTATATATGGAAGAGTGGGTGCCTATAGGTTACATACGACCCCCAGCTGTGAGCGAGGCCACGTGTGAACAGCCCCCGTCGATCCAGCTCTCCAGGACAGGAAAGAAAGAACCACGTGTGGACTGCAATGTACTGTATTAATCATTTAGTAATGTTAAGAATACATAACAAATCGATTTACCGCTGCGTTAGGCCAACTGTGGTGCCAACTCGTACTCACAGATACTGGAAAATTAGATCAAAATCAGAGTTTGACACATTGAGTTCTGCTGTCTGTAAAGGTATTAGGACTTCCCAGTAAAATATTATGAATCTCAGGCTAAGTTTATATGATGACGGTCTGAACAGAAGACGCAAAAATCTTCAGTTTCAGTATTCTGCATTTAGATGAGTGTTTTGAGGAGCATGCCAGGCAGCTAGGTGGTGATGTATGTGACGTAAACACGTACGCGACGTGAGC